TTTAAAACATAAATTAAAAAAACCTTAGTTAAATGCCATGTGCTCATTATGAAAGTGGGTTGGTTGACATTTTCAAGAGATTGCCCCTGTAACTTTAACATTTCTCCATGGCATGCGCATGGTGTTGCGCTATAAGTGAATTGGGGTGAGGTGGACGCACCCAAAGATCCGCGTGGGATAATGGTGGAGCCCACAGAAGTACACGCGGGTGGGGAATTGGTTTGACACGTGTCAAAGTGGGCCCTCTTCTTAGTTGTTCCTTTTAGCCCACAATCCCACAAAGAGGCCTGAGTAGTGGGTTGTACCATATCCCAATCCCACTTAGGGAAATTGGAAAAGCCTAACCAAGGAGGAATGGGATGAGGAGCAGGTGGGGTCCATGTAATTTTGGGTGGTACCAAAAAGGGGTTCTTCTTGCTTTTGTGGGGAAGAATGAAAAGAGGGAGGAAGGGGGCAATGGCTTATGTAACATGTTGAGGCGTGGGGGGAGTCCACTTATTAAGGACTTTTGTGGAGAACCCACTCTAGGATTGTGTGCCTTCGTTCATCATATCCATTTTGTTTATCATCATGGCTTTTGTGGGTTTAAGATTTTGTTTGTTCCATTTCAAATTACACTATTGTATTGCCCACCATCACTTCATGCCGACTAAGTATGGTAATAGTTAATAACGAGTTTATAGCAATGTTTTGATAGAAAGGAGAAAGAATCTTATCCATTGATAGTATGAAGTATTTCTTGGTAATTTGTTTAGACTTTAATTTTGACCAAATAATTCATATATTTTAAAAAAGAATTGAATCTTTTATTCAAGTTAAAATTAATCAAATATTTTATATAATTAGTGGATTTACTTACCTAATTCACTAATCCTCAATTACATATTTTTTAAAATGGTGATTAGATATTTGAACATTCTCTTTTCATGTTTCTTTTAAAAAAAAAAAAGGAGGGGGGGGGGGGGGGGGGGGGGGTGGGGGGGGGGGGGATGTAAATGAACGAGTGGGTTATTGGAGCGCCAACAAGACAGTGGTCCTTGCGATGCAACTTTTTCCTATAATTAGGAGACAAAGGATACAAGGAATTTTTAAATCAATCCACAGAGGGATTTAGATATTGTTTATTGTTAGGGCGGTCTTGTAATTGTTTTCCAGGCCTTTAAAAAAGGTTCAACCCACCTTCCTCCCTCCCCCTCTCCCCCAAAGATATATTGAAGTCAAATGGCTAAATAATCTGAGGACGTCCTAATATTGAAATCAAGACCACTGCACATTCTCCTGTTGTGGCTTGATAGTAGCCACTACTGCCTAAAAAGGTAACTGATGGATTGCACATTTGATCTAAATTTAATACTTCCCACAAACAATACTAACTTTACTAATATTATTAATCTAACCGTTAACCTTGTTAAAAAGAAAAAAAAAAAAAAAAGAAAGACCACTGCAAATTAGCATCCCTTTTTTCTTTTATCACTTTCTTTAGAATGGTCAAAATTATTGTTTTATGGTACTTATGTCTATATATATATGTTTAATTCTTTTATAAAGAGTTTGAATAAATTTATTTAGATGATATATTATATAATAAGAAAATTTTATTTTTTAATTTGTCTTTATTAATCCAATTAAAATTTTAAACTTAAAATTAACTCAATTAAAATATCAAATTTTGGCCCCTTGAGACATTAACAAAGAATTATAATGATCGATAGTCATGTTGTCCTTTATTCCCTGCAAAAATTCTTTTTTGGGGGGAAAGAAAATGGGATAATGGGATAATGAAATGATGAATCACTAAAAGATTAGCACAAGTGGTTGGCGTGCAGTGCTGCCCACTAACCTCCAATGCAAATGGTAAAAATCTCCTAAAATGTTAGTGCAGAAGGTGAAGGGGGACAAGACAAATGTTGTCCGGAACCAAATCACAAATACCCCAATGCCCCCCTCATTCTGTGAGTAGATATTGTGTCCAAAAAAGTGACGGGGTAATCGAGTGACGTGCCGTCAATTTGTCTGCTGCACGTGAACTTAGTGGTCATTACCACAATCATAATGTCAAAAAGAGATAAACCTTTTCCATTTGTTTAATGCCTTTGGGCTTTCCTCGGACCCTAAATGTATCCATCTCGTGCTCTGTAGTGCAATGCAACATTATCGCTACATATCACCATTATCCCAAGGCCCAGAGAGCTTGATCAAATTAGATTTGGCTACATGCCACTTTTCATGTACTTTTTTTATTTTTTTGGATTTTTGGGTGCCTAGAATTGTATAGAGTGAAATTTGGCTACATCGCACCTTAGGCGACGTGGTCAACCTATGTTTTTTTTTTAAAAAAAAAATTAACATTTAAAAGTTATATTAAATTTTAATTAATTTAAAACTAAATTACATCAAATTTATAATTTTTTTTAACATTTATATCGATATTTATAAAATTTAAAATTAAAATTTTGTTTAAAAAAAAAATAAAAAATCAACAAGTTGTCCAACAGGTCGTTAACAACAGAAGAATTTCCACGATGCATTGTGCACTTCCTGTTTGGATTTGAAAGAAGACAGGATATGAGGCACTAATTAAGTAAACGGTTGCAGACCCTGAGCTGCGTAGATGACACATCTTTTTCAAGTTTATCACAATTATAGTCAACCAAAGAAAGAAAAACGCCAGGTTCATAAATCGTGATTCACGAATGAAACAATTCAACCGTCGTGAAAGTGGAAAGAATGAGTGAATGAAGCCCATCTTCAATGCTCTTTATAAGAAAATGGATTAAAGTAAAAAGATTTTAAATTTAAATATTAAGCATCCAAATGTGATAGATTATTTTTTTGTTATGAAACTTAAAATTATCACTAAATTTTTAATTTTGATTTGAGGTAAGAGAGTTAAAGAGAAAAGGAAAAAAAGGTTAAAAAGAGGTTTGTCCTCTCTTTAATTTTTTTTGATGAATCAAAAATGTTATTAATAAAAGAGTACAAGGAGTACTCACCCATACATTACATTAAAAGTTCAATAAGTTAAAAATCAACTGCACAATGGAGTGAGAATTGACACCAGTCCACGAAATTGAACTTAGCATAGGTAGAGTTTCCTTTGATCTAGCAGAAAGTTCTAGATTGAATTAACTCAATCAATCTGTTTTCATTCCAAGGTTGTTTTTCAAAAATAATACCATTTCTGCTTACCCAAATGGACCAAGCAGCTGTTGAGATTGTGAGGTTCCAGCTCCTTCTTGCTTTCTTGGGGACCTGCAGCGAACTAAGTTGGTGGAGCATGGCAAAGGCATTATCCGGGGGAACAAAAAGGAAACCCCACCAGTGACATATTTTGCTCCATAGTTTTTGAGATTGTCTGCATTTGGCAAAGATGTGATTTGCGTCCTCTGGATGATCACCGCAGAACACGCAGTTTGGATTGTTTGTTAAATTTACTCCTCGAAGACACAGGTTGTCTTTAGTTGGAAGGCGGTTTAGGAAGAGGCGCCAAATCATGAAGCTAACTTTAGAGGGCACCAACGGGTTCCAAATCAAGCTGCAAATACTGCCTTGAAGACAAGTGGTGGGGTTTTCAAGAATTTGGTAGGCTGATTTTGTTGAGTATCCTGATGGGCAGTGTATCCAATTGAAGTTATCTGGCTTGGTGTCATGGATGTTAACAGGCTTTAGAGTGTCCTCTAATCTCTTGTATTCGTCCAGCTCTCTCCCAAATGGTTCATGACGCCAATTGAAATGCCATCCTTGACCTTTAGATGGTTTGAGGTTAGCAACTGACATTTCTTTATCGAGGGAAAGGTTGTATAATCGTGGAAATTCCAGTTTGAAGGAGGAGCTGCCCAACCACACGTCAGACCAGAAATTGGTTTTTGCTCCATCACTGATCTTTCTGGGGAATCCATCAATGAAGCATGTTTTTGCTCTTTCATTTTCCCTGCCAATAGAAAGAATATCTCTCCAAATGGTAGACATTTTAGGGGTTATACAGCTGGTGATAGAAGTATTATTATTTCCCTCATAATATTTGTAGACAATTATATTCTTCCATAGTTTATGCTTCTCATCTACATCATGAAATTTGCTCCACCATTTACCCAAGAGAGCAGTGTTTCTAATTGCTAAATTAGGGATTCCTAGGCCACCCTTAGATTTTGCAAGGCAAGCTTTTTCCCAATTAACCCAAGCAATTTTCTTGGAGTCATCTGAGCCTCCCCACAAAAAATTTTTTTGGATTTTGACAAGCTCATTAAGAATGCCTTTAGGAACTTTAAATAGCGAAAAATAAAAGAGAGGGAGAGCAGAGAGTACTGACTTGAGAAGCGTGAGGCGCCTTCCAGATGATAAGAGTCTGCCTTTCTAGGATGCCAGTTTTGACCGGAACTTTTCAATCATTGGTTTCCAAAAGCTACTGCGATGTGGGTTGCCACTGACCGAAAGCCCAAGGTAAGTAAAAGGCAAGCTTCCGTGTTTGCAATTTAGGGTTTGAGCTGCCATATCAATCCACTGATTGTTCACATTAACCCCATAAAGAATGCTTTTGCTGAAATTTATTTTAAGCCTTGACATGATTTCGAACCATCTCATAATAAATTTTATTGCCCTGATAGAGCTCACTGAAGCCTCATTGAGCAGGACAGTGTCATCGGCAAATTGAAGGTGGGAAATCGGTGCATTAGTACTGGTAGTTACCCATTTAAAGAGGTTTTTTCTTTCTGCTTCGGCTAGTAGAGCATGTAGGCCTTCAGCAACAATTATAAACATATAGGGTGAGAGAGGGTCGCCCTGTCTAAACCCCCTTCCCATACTAAATTCCTTAGTTGGACTGCCATTCACAAGAACAGATACAGTAGCTGAAGAGAGGCATTCTTTTATCCAATTGCACCATTTCTGACCAAACCCCAACTGTTTTTGCATTGAATCTAGATAATTCTAGTCAACAGAGTCAAAGGCTTTTTCAAAATCAGCCTTAAAGATGATGCCCTTCATTTTCTTGAGTTTCATATCATGTACAAGTTCATTTAGTGCTAGGACACTATCCACAAGATGCCTCCCTTCCATAAACGCGGACTGGCTTGTGCTTATCACCTTCCCAATAATTTTCCGAAGCCTATTTGCAAGGACTTTGGCCAAAATTTTGTAAATGCATCCTATCAAACTTATCAGCCGGAATTCTTTCAAAGAAATGGGGTTTTTAGTCTTGGGGATCAGCGTAATGTAGGAGGCGTTTAATCCTTTTACCAGCTTCCCGTTCTTGTGGAACTCTTTCATGAAGCTAATGATATCTCCTTCAATTGTGCTCCAAATTGTTTTGATGAAGTGGAAGTTAAACCCATCAGGTCTTGGTGCTTTATCGCTAGCACAGGAGGCAACTGCTTCTCTGATTTCATCGTCATTAAATTCTGCTTCTAACATATCTCTATCTTCCTCATTCAATTTTGCAAATTGTAAGCCTCCCAATGGAACT